CTCTCTCTCTCTCTCTCTCTCTCTCTCTCTCTCTCTCTCTGTCTTTCGTCCGCAGCGTTCGACACAGGGGACACCCGTTTGACGACGTTTGTCGCGTTGGAGCGGTATGGCTCGCGCGGCAAATGAAGTGTGGCCGAACGCGAGTACCGTTTTTGTACCAGTTCAGACCGTTTCCCCTGCGCCACCACCGCAGCAGGCACCCCGCGAACTCACTGCAGGACGCAAATGGGTTCGCGAAAAAAAAAAAAAAAAGTGCATGGGGCGGTACCCGACAGCGGACACTACCACCCCACACTTTCACAAAACCCCTACCCCCCCCCCAAACGCGCGGAAACGCGGTTCGCGGACCCCGTTCATTCGCGTCCAACGCGCGTTTGAACGGGGATTGAACGAGAATTCAACGCGCGTTCAATTTTTCAACGCGAAACCCGCGTTCAATCAATTTTCGGACACATAGCACACACACATGCCCCACCTATTATGAGGGGCAGCAGTCCTGTTGCTTATCATCGGCAAGCAGATACATAAGTTCAGATGAAAAAAGAAAGACAGAAACAGACATACAAAAGGTTTTCCGGGGTGTTTCGAACTGGGTCAGCACCACAGCCCGCCTGGGACAGATGATAGTCACGTCTGAAAATCGAAGTTCTGTTCTCTGGAATGGGTATTGCCGGGAGGCAGTATGCACCCAGTCACAATAACCCTTCCAGGGACCAGTAGCTTTGCTCGATCCGCGATCTCATCCCCGCTCCCCCCCGATGATGATTCCCCATCCTACTCTCCGCCCTATCACTTATCTCTCACGTTAGCACTTTATCTAAACCCCTTTACCCGTTCTCTGAGTATCCCTCACATATACTGCAATTCTCTCCTACTTTTCTCAAATCCTATTATTCCTTTCAACTCATTCCCGACATTCTTTATTTCAATTTCACAACCCCCCAGCCATTCCCTAATCTATGTTAGATTCCGAGTCCCTCATCTCGTGCTTATTGACTGTTCGCTTCTCCAATAGATCCTCCCTTTGTATCAGGCTCATTGACCGGTCTTTGGTCATTGCTCCTTTCTAATGTGGTTTTTGTTGGTCGTCTTCTACTCAGATATTAACCCAGTCCTTCCCTGAAGTTGAAGGCCCTCGTATTCCCCTTCTTCAGTAATCCCTCATTTTTACACAAATCTCTCGCTATGTCCCCTATAGTCCTGTTCCCCTTTCAGTACATTGTGTACCCAGTTGTTAAGTCAATTATCCCCTTAACTTCAAGGCCCTCGTGTTCCTTACTTCAGTAATCCCTCCTTTTTACACAAATGTCTCCCTATTTCCCCTAGTCCCTATGTTCCTTTTTTCGTACATACTTTACCCAAATGTTAACTCAGTTTTTCCCATAACTTCGAAACCCTCGTATTCTCCCTTCAATAATCCATCGTTTTTGCCCATAATTTCTCCCTATATCCTTAAGTCCCTCTATTCCCTTATTCCAATCATAACGATCACCCTCCCTCATTTTCATCCTCCTTACACTCTTTCCCCATCTCACTGCTCCCCCTTGTATGTGTTTATAACATCCTTCTCCCGACATTTTCAAGTCCAAGTGACTCCCTTTGCCTATTTACAAGATTTTCCTAATCTTACCTCTGTATCCCCTAACCCCTCTGCTTCTGATTCTTTATTTATGAAATCAATCTTCATCATTCTCCCCCTGGTCTTGTCATTCCTCCCCCTCTCTTTGCCTTTCTTATGCGACATCCCCTCTCCCAAGATTGGTCCATTGAGCACCCTGATTTTCAAAGTTGTTTCCCCATTTCCACTGGCCTGGTTGTTCCCCGATTTCCACGACCCCATGCTTTCACCATCATCTCCCACCCACTCTTTCGCCTTTTGTTGACATCATCCATTATGGCCACCTTCAAGTTTGCAATCATCCATGCTCGTAGCGTTTGCATGGATCCCCTAACTGCTCACTTCAAAAGCCTTCCTCACATGGCCCACATTGCTCCCCAGAATGCCCCCCTCACCACCTCCCCTGTGTATGCTTGGCTCAGTTCTAACTCTTGTCCAACCAGTAGTTGACCAAGCATCACTGCTGAGCGATGAGACCTATGGTTTGGTTGCAAGGGAATAACGTCTCCTCGTGTGGCCCATCATTCCCAAAACTCCTTTTGAGGAACAGAGTCTAACCATAAGTGTGGTATAGTATCATCTTCCAAATTGCACCATTTACAGTTCGTATCTGTGGCAGCGCTGTGCATTTCCATCCATTGGGAGGTCGGTACTACCAGTTGTAGGTTCAACCACAGGCCTCCTGCCTATTTCTGATCTGGCAATGTTGTGAGTACTTTGCATGTTGCGTCCCACTTTGCTTGTGTCCATCCTTGTGTATCTTCCTTTGCAATCCACTGTCTTTTCCTCCACCTCCCTTTCATTTCCTCTGCCATATCTATCGGTGGATTCAGCGGTCTATATATAACTTTTGCTGTAACTTAATGTGGACTGAAATTTTTTCGTTGTGAGTTCTTGGCCCGCCATTCCCATGCTGATGGATCCCATGTCATCTGCAATGGATGCAATTGAGGTTTAAAGGGTCGGAATGTTTTCGTGCCCTTTCGTTTCTGATCTCTAACCACCACCACCGATCTCATGTTGTCCTTATGTATCTTGTCGTCCCTCAATTCTTGTTTGTGCATGGGACTCCCTAACGCTGTTCCCAAAGAGCTCACCTCCCATGCTTGTGCTCCCTACCAATCTGCACCCTCTTTTGAAATCAGTCGAAAAAGCGTTTGTGTCGGAATCTCTTGTCACCCACTCTCCCCTGATCTCGTAATTCCTTTGGAGTTGTTGGGACCAGTCTTGAGGAATCGCTTCTCTCAGCTGTTGCAGCCTTGTGTTCCTTTCCGATTGGTATCTTAGCGGTTCTTCCAACTCTTGATCTTCTTTCCACCGTCCCTGCTTCTCATTCCACAGGTCTATCACTATGTGTATGCCATATCCCAGCCACTGTTTCCCAAAAGTTCCCCTTTGTCCCTGCCTGGCGAAAGGTCTGTTATTTTTTCTTATAAATCGGTTCTCAAACAACGACTGTCCGAAAATTTGTGTAGCCGTTGTCGGAGCTGCCTGTCTAAGAGCCGACTTTCTCCATTTCTCCAAGGTTGGTGACTACAGGGCTTCTCTAGCCAAGCCTTGTTGGAGTTGCGGATGAAGAAACGCCATCTCGACATTTGCCGGGTCCATTCTCAATGCCTTCGCCATGCTGGCCAAAGTGATAATCTTCCATGTTGCTTCATCTTTCTCAAGAAGTCGCCACAACATCGTTCGCATCTGTAGTGTTGTAGCCCTATGTTACGCCCTGGCCGCAGCCGAGTTCGGTCGTGGCCGCGGCCGGGCCCCCGCAAGCCGTGGCCGAACACGACCGATAATTTCGGCCGAGGCCGCGGCCGATCGGGGAGGGGGTTTGGGGGGCGGGGAACGGGTTTCGAGTTGGGGGGGGTCCCCTACCTCCTCGCAAAAAAAAAAAACATAAAAACTTCGAAAACGAGGGGATGGATTTCGAAGACTACCAAAAAAAATTAAATAAATAGAAAAAAAAAAACAATTCATTGATTGACTGTTTTTTTTTTATTGATTGATTGATTGATTGATTGATTGATTGATTGATTGGTTGATTGATTGATTGATTGATTGATTGATTGGTTGGTGGGGGAG